GGGGGGGGGGAAGCATTTAGTTCCATGTCCTGCAGGCAGGGTGGTGTGTTGGTGACCAAACACCACCAGGAGCCCCTTGCTGGCCTAGTCACCAGCACAAGGGCATTGTGTAAGCCCATTGCTCTGCCTTGCTCTTCCCCCAAAGACTAAGGGGAAAGAAACCCCTTTGTTTGTAGCAAGGTTAGTGCCATAGCAGTCACATCAAGAGGTGACAGTGGGGAGTATAAGGCTGATATGGGTGGTCACAATGTCCTGATTATTTCTCAGACTTGTGGGAGGCTTGACAGGTAAGCAGGAGGAAAAAACAGCATTCACAATGTGAGCTCAGCCCTGTGCCAAACTCTCTAAATGCATTTCCTCCTGACCTGGAATCTTATAAACTAGATATTAGCATCCTTAGTTGACCAATGTGACAACAAAGGCCCAGAGAGGTTAATTAACTTGCCCGAGGCCACACAGCAGAGGTGATACTTTATAGGCCGCCGCCTCCTCCTCCCAAGGAAAATATCCAGGTAGAAACTTTGTATGAGCCCTGCCAGCCCCCTGGTACCTGGCCTGAGGAGTGTGATGCCACAGCCACCGCCACCAGCGCCAGTGAGTTTGCTGTGCAGTCCATGGGCCATAGTCACCTGGCAGAGCTGGTCCAGGGAGGTGTGGCCCACACCGAGGGCATTCAGATGGTGCTGGTTCATATCGATGAGCTCCTGGAGGAGAAGATTCAGTCTGTTCTCATTTGGTCTGCCTGAGGCTGGGGTCCTGTGCCCGCCCTGTCTATCCAATAGAACACTGGCTTGGGACAGCTCATGGCTTTGACTAACCAGCACACCATCCCTCTCTGTTGGTAAAAGAGCCTCTCCTTCCTGCAGGACTTCCCGTGGGGCTGGGATGGAGGTGGTAGTGAGCATATGTTCCAGGCCTGGCCACAGAAGCCTCTGGCCATAGTCATTGGTCAAGGATACGCATGTGGGTCAATCAGGGCCCTCCTAAGGTTTTCTCTGCCTCTTCCCATTGGAACTGCTTAAACTGTTTGACTTCAGAAGTAGGCCACCAGTAACCTACACTGCACATGGTCAGAGATTACATGGAAGACAGAGATTTCAGACTAGGTTATTCAGGCCCATGGATCCAGCTATGCCTGAAGCTGCTCCCTCCGGTGTTCTCAGTTATGAGCCAATAAATTCCTTTTCTACTAAAGCCTGGCTGGGATGGATTTCTGTCATTTATAGAAGTCTCAAGTAATAATCCATCCTGCAGCTGCCTCAGGAACCGATATTCAGAATAAAACCTGGCTTGTAGTCCAGCAAGGTCACATACACATGGGGGGAAACAGTTCAGCTTTCTTTGACTATGCATAATAAAAGTACTTCTCTTCTGATGAGCAAATGAGATGCAGATTGAGGAAATAACAAAACTAACAGTGACCACTGGCCAGGCATCCTGTATTTACATTTCATTTACTCCAAGAGTGTCTGACAAACACACAATGTGCAGGGTACCATGCCGGATGCTGGGGCTCTCAGAATGAGCACCCAGCTATGGTCCTTGCCGTCAGGGAGTTAGAATGTGGGAATTGGAGTCAGGTGGGCCTGGGTCTAAGTGTCAGCTCCGCCACTTCACGGTCTTGTGTCCTTGGACGAGGTCTTTCACTCTGAGCCCCAGTCTGCCCCCTGAAACACGATGGGAAGAGGATCTGCCTCATCACCATGAGGAGAGAATGAGGTGAGTCTTCCATACAACACCTGGCACGAGGTCAGTGCTCAGCCAGCACCAGCAGCCCTCAGTACTTTCATTGCTACAGTGCTGTCACCCCCATTTTACCAAGGGGCAAATGGAGGCTCAGAGGAAAGTGACTTGCCTGAGGTCACTGAGCTCATAAGGCACCAAGCAGGCACCAGAAGGCAGGTCTGCCTGACACAAAGCTCATCTACCCTGCCTGGGAAAGTGCCCTTGCGTTCCTACTGGTGTCCACTCCCAGTGTGTGGCTCGGGCTCGCAGCCCTGCTCCAGGGTACTAGGAGCACCCGTGAGCCATGAAGACTGCCAATCACCAGCAGTCCGTGGAGAGCCACCTGGTTCTCCTGCCCAGGGCTGTCTGGCAGGATGGGGTCAGCCCTCCCCCGCAGCCCCCCTCACATGCCCCAGCACTTTTGACAAAGGAGGAGAGAGGAGTGATGGCCCGGTGGCACCCCCAGGTGCCTTTCACCAGGCCCGGGGGCTGGTTGTGAGGGAAAACTTACGGGGCCCCCTCTGCGCCTGAGCACCAGGCGTCACACTGCCGAGGCAGGTTCCAGACACCTGTCACATTCTGATCCAAAATCTGTCAAGGATTGGATGACAGGTTGTGACACAGGAGAACAGCTCGCTGGTTTGAGTGCAAAGCTGTCCAGGAGCCGAGCTACACATTTCAGCGGCTGCCACAGCCAAAAATATACACAATGTATAATCAACGTGCTGTTCCGGGGCATTCTCAAGGGGCTCAACAGGGTGTATTTTAGGCAGTACTCTATCATTATTAATTTCCTACTCAGGAGGACTGTGTTCCCTCCTTTCTACGTGAAAGGAATTGACAGCCAGCCAAAGGCTGGGGGAATGAGGGCAAAAGCGCAGTAATTAGGTTGTGTCCTTGTGCCTGGCCCATAGACAGTGCTCATTAAAGATTTGTTGGCTAAAGAAATAAGTAAGTCAGTCTGGCTCCTGGCTCAGCCACTTGCTAGTTGGAAAACCTTGGAGAAAGTTGTTCCCTTCAGGCCTCAATTTTTATACCTGTAAAATGGGGGCAACATACCTACTTCACAAGTAGGTTGTTGTAGGGATCAAATAAATCATTTCTGAGAAGACTTATAGAGTAGCAGCTTCCATTCATTACAGGGGCTACAGACACAAAGGCTTACACCAAGACAAGGAGGCACTAGGCAAAGATTGTAGTGGCTGTGGGCAATACTTAAGAGAGTGGTGGGGACTGCAGAGAAGTGGACACCACAGGGGCCCTTTCTACACCTCTAAGCTGGCTGCTGCTGCACAGCCATGTGGGCTGGGGCTGCGGATCCTATGATTCTTCAAGGGAAGCCAGATGGCTTTTTAATACCAGCCCACAGACACCAGGCCAGATGGACTGTGTCTGAGGATGAGCCCAGGACCTCTGGCTTACTGAGCTGGTGGCTCATCAGACATTGTCCTTGTGCGTCACCCATGAGACCTCACTGCATTCTTAAGACACTGCAGGGGCTGGGCGTGGGATTCAGACTTAAGCCTGATTAAATCCAAAACGTGAGGTCTCAACCTCTACACTAGAATTATGCAAAGGGTGGTGGTGGGCTGGGGTAACAATGGTGAAAGAACAGTATTAGACTATATGTGATCCAAAGCATGCAGGTGATAAACAGCCACTGAATGAACAAATGCACTTAACAAAAGTAGCAGGAAAGAGGCACCCAGGTAAGAAATCTCTTCTGGACCCATCCACAGAAGACTGTCAGAAATATCCTGGTGCTTCTTACGTAAACCTGGCCCATCATGTTTAGCCCATACTGGGCACTGCCCTCAGCATTTCTTGTATTTTCTCACTTACTTCAACCACCTGGGAAGAGGTTTAAAAGTAAGGCACGCTTGCTCGTGTGTGCACACACAGGACCCTGGGCCCAGGCCTGGCCTCCGGGGATTCTGGGTGCAGTCAGATTGGGGAGTTCTGCCTTAGATAGTGGTGTGGGTGAGTGACCCCAGATCCCGTGGACAGGTTCTTACTTCCAGCACCAGGTAGTGCTCTGGGGCGGGGGCTGCTGCTGCCATCTCTCCCAGTACTCGCTCGCACTCCAGGGCAATGGCGTCGATGGAGGTCAGGAGGGGGGCCACGATCTCTGGGAACTGGAGGGAAAGGAAGCAAGGGCCTGTGAGGCCTAGGGGCAAGCAAGCACTGGACAGCTGCCCCAGCAACAGGGTGGAGGGAGGAGATGTCCCCATTGCCTACATCCACCCTCTGAGGAAACCTCCTCTCCTTCCGCCCTGGTCTCTGCCTTGCCCAGACACCCACTATATGTGGGGGATTCTTGCTGCAAAGCCAGCATGATGGACGAGCCCTGTTCCACCTCCCTGCTGGAGTGTGAACAGATAGCACCTCCTTTTCTGCCAAAATTGCCTTCCCAAGTCCCCAACTCCATTCCACCCTCTATTAGCCCATAAGGCAGAGGGAGAACTCCAACACATAAACATGGCTATCATGACTCTGCCAGACACCTGCCCAGGGGTGGGACAAGAAGCACCTTGAGTAGTCTGTTCCTGACGCTGAGCACAAGAGCCTTGGTGCTGCGAGGGACTTTGGTGTTGGTCAGTAGGATCTTCAGAGCCGGTGACCTGCAGGGTACAGAGGGTCCACAGTGAGCTCAGGATGGAGGAGTTGGGGGCAACCCGGGACTCCACCTCCCTCCCCATACAGAAGAGAAAGCGGAGGCCCAGGGAGGTGACATCTGGTCAGGGGAAGCACAGACTCCTGACGCCCAGCCAGTGTGCCTACAACCAACCACAGCTGCATCTTTGCTTTAGCCCCTGGACAGATGGACACTTCCCTCGGCTCATCACTCATTCATTCATTTGACTTTGGGCACCTATATGTGCTAGGCACACATGAGGGCCTGGACGAGCCTGGAGGTGGCACAGCATGGCACATTCATGGAGTTGTAAGTTCAAAGTTGCTACAGGGAAGAGTACAAGGAGCCGAGGTTCTGTCATGTGAGCCCCTCCAGGGAGCTGGAGTGGAAGGTGTTGGAGATTTAGAAAGAAAAAGCAACAGGTCCTAGGGTGGATCAGCGTGGGAAGGTGTGTGGAGAGGGAAGATGCCTGTTTAACTGGTTCAGTCAACACCGGAGTGCGAGAGAGGGCAGGCTTGTGGAGGAGTCGGGTTCCCAGCATGCTGTGCCTACTCTTGCCCTGTTCCGAAGCCAGATGTTGGGAGGGAGTCAGTCGTCCCTACCTGGCTGCCCGGGGTCAGGGAGGCCCCAGTAAGCTGGCTCTCCAGCATGACCCTGTTGTCCTTACCTGCCCTCTGAGCTTTATAATCCCTCCTAAAGCCACAATCCCAACTGTCCTTGTGGTTAGCTGTCTTTGGGGTCTCAAGCTCTCATTTCTTGTCAGCCCAACCTGCCTTTCAGAGCACTGCTGGCCAGGGACAGAGGGTGGAGAATTTGGATGAGCTCTGGCCCGAGACAGCTGGAGATGGGCAGACCCCTTGATACCTTTATTCCCTTTTCTTTTCACAGCTCAAGACTGTAAAATCCAACAGGGCTGGAAAAGGCTGCCAGAAACCTGCTTGATCTCACCGCCCATAAGCCCATGAAATTAATATTGATTCTCAGCCTTGGAGGCCGGCTCTTTTTTTTTTTTTTTTT